GGGGGAAGGGGGCCCCGGGGGGGGGGGGGGGGGGGGGGGGGGGCCCCCCCCCCCCCCCCCCGACTCAAGAGGCACCAGACACCCATGCTTGCGTGAATGCAGACTGCGCAACTATGAATTAAGACTGCTTTAACATCATACTACTTTGTACTTATAAGGCTAAACTTCTGCAGGGCTGCATTTCTTTTATGCTATCACACTTTGTAAACATTTCAATTTTAGCATTTCCTATATGCCAGGATTGTCCAACTTCTGAGCAACCAGGGGCCACATGCTGCACAGCTCTTCTCCTTTCCTCCCTCACAGGCTGGGGAAGGGGGAGAGGCCAGGCTGTGTGGGCTGTGCTGCCCTACCCTCAGGGGCAGGTCAGGAAGCAGAAACTGGATGAGGGGGAGACAGCATGGCAGCAAAACAGTGGGAGGAGCAGAGGCCAGACAAGAGCCTGCGAGCCTCAAGTTAATCTCTTGCAGTCGCATGTGAACCACTGGTGGCACAGCCCTGATACAGGCCAAAAAACTTTACAGGCTAACAGTAGTTTAAAGCTTTAAGCTGTCTTCTATCTTATTGTAGTCCCATGCAATAATGAGTATTTTCAATATTTTTCTGTGCCAAATGAAGAAAAATTACATCCTATATCCTGTTTACATCTTGGTAGAATCTATAAGCACCGGCCATGGTCTATAGCCCTGAGTGCTTAGTACTGTACATACAGCACATTTTTCCCTGATTCACTGAACTTATATGTTACATAGAAACTATTTACAGTAGCCTTTAGAATATCTAGCTTCGTTTAAAATGTTTTCCATTTTAGCTCAAATCATTTTAACTGTTTTATATCATCACGTGTCCTATGCTGATTGTCACATCTATGAAAGTAGGTCAACCAGGGACGCTTAAAACTCATCTCGACAAAAGACTCTTGCTTAAGGGCTTTTAAATGCAAGAACACAGCTGTGATAAGAAATTCCTATCTTTGGTAGGTTTCAATTTTAGACGCATTTTATATGGCTTAAGTGGAGATTTTTTTCTGTTTAACTGGATGATAAAACAGAGTGTAAGTGATGTACAATATAAGCAAAATTAACAAAGATTAGTCAGTAATTAGCTCTGATTTCAAAAGGTACTCTGTATATAACCACCATTATTCTTCAGCAGTAACATACATTTCCACTCTATTTCTACTGAACTGTGGTTTATTAAAAATATTATAAATCTTGCATAATATATATGAAATTCGAGAGAAAGAGTAATGAATTTACTTTGCAGTTTTCATTCTTTACATTTTGAAATATGGATACACACAGTTCAGTTACTGGACTTTGGCAATTAAATACTTCTAAAATAAAAAGGAAGCTTTTACTAACCTCACTGCTCTGATTCAGTTCTGGCCAGGTCTGGTTTAGGGATGGCATTGATGGAGATTTGCTTGGAGGTGCTTCTGCTGGAGAGCTGGAGTAACCTACCTCACCAGCTTGATCCCCAACTTCTGAAACGACAGGAACCACTATAAACCAAAATAATGTATTTCATTAATTTTGCTGTTTGACAAACTGCTGATGCCTCATGGAATATTTAGTTATCCTTCTTTCTGTAGGTGACTTGTCCAAGTAAACAAGAAATAGTGGCCAAGAGAAAATTCTGAAGAGTTTTCACTCTGGAATCTCAGGCTTTAACTATTAAATAACACTGTCTCAGAATCCTCTTGAAAAACTAGGTCTTGAATCAGATTATTTTGCCTCTGCCTTCTGTTTAATATCACAAAAAATAAAAATAAAAACACACATTATTTTAATACAAATGCCATCAATATTAATAATATTAATTAATATTTTTTCAGATGCATTGATTAAGCATCAGCTGCTGTAACTTATTTGATCTTAAGTGTTAGGGTTTCTCTTAATATTACACTGTTAAGTACACAGCAACAGAGTAAGTTTAAAGGTAAAAATGGTTTCCTGATGATACTGTATTTACTTGTACATCATACACACCTTTCTCTCCCAGATTAGCCTTCCATGAATGTTTTTAGCAAGGAAATTGATTTCCATGCCAGAAGGGAGAGAGGAGGGCTCCAGAATGGCCGCTAGGGACTGTTCTGGATACCTGCCCCATGAAGGGTGACCCGAGAGTCCACTCATCAGTATCATCCACTCTAGCTATAACTAGAGTGTTTCACCCTCTTACAGCCACTGCTAAATTTGCAACAACTTTTGGAAGAGTGACACTGAACTGGGAACAATCAACCATGGTGCACTCATGCTGAGTCGGTTAGCATTCTAGAAGAAACTTTTCTTCTTCATTCTGCCTTCCCAAAACAAGGCATGTGTCTTACTTGGGGGCTGTATGGTATGCGAGTAAATATGGCATAAAAAAGCAAGCATCACTTGGTAAAGGAAATTATAATTCTTATGTGGAGTTCATTTCTCATAAGGTAGGTAAAGACTACTTTTTTTAACTTGTATCAGTATTCGCAGAAAACAAACCTAGCTTGCAGTATTAACAGAAACAATCTTATCAGAATGGGTTTAATGCAACAGATATTGTAAACTTTGAAATCAAAATGTACTATACAAATTATAATCTGAAAATAAAGCTACTGGAATATAAATGGTATATGATAAAGTCTTTGAAACACAAGACTGCTCCCTGGTTCAGCAACAATACAGAGGGTAAGATTTCATACAGATGACTCTTTGTATACAGGTCTACATAAGTTTTTGTTATAACGATGCCAGTCGTATGTAAAGAGGTGTGATCCCTAAGCAATATACTGTGTCAGCAGGAACATTTAGTATAAAAATGTTATATTATCAAAATAATTTTTACCAGCCTATCTTCTTTTACTTCACCAGTGCTGCCGTTTCTACACAAGAACTCTACTGGTGGAAATATACTAGCATTTCCACAGGCGGTACATGTATTTATTGTTACTGTATTTTCTTACATACAAGATGCCACCAAATAAAACATGAAACTTGTTTTTGGAAGGCAAAATTTGGAGGAAAAAACCCACTGTTTTAGAGTTGAATGGTGAGAGCTCACCGACTGTGTGACACAACAAGTCCTCCTGAAAACACCCAGTCTGGGTGAGGCAGCAGGATCTTCCTGGTATGGCAGAACAGCAACAAGGCTAGGCTCCAGCCCCTTGCAAGGGCAGTGACAAGATTTGCTTCTTTTCTCCAACTGCAGTCCACAGTGCTGTGTCATTCAGCCCTCAGAGCTCCTCACAGGTCTGGAAATTTGGTAGTGCAAGAGCACTGGTACCACTTCCCCAGTGCCAAAATTTCTGGACCCATGAAGAGCCCCAGACCCCACACCCTAGATCAAGTGCTGGATCCCAGTGCACAGAACTGGGCAAAGGTGGTATTCGGGCCAGGGCTGACCCGTAGCTAACGCTGAACACGTCACCTGCTCTTTGCAGCCACAGAAAGAAGTGGCAGCCATCTTGGCAGCACCACATCACAGCATCTGCTTGCCTTATTCCATCCTGTTTCTACCCCAAAGAAAAGTCAGCTTCCCCACTTAAGATATGCATACCAATTCTGGAGGGCTGATTCTGAGGAAAAACTGCAAGTGGTCTGCAAGCAAATATGGTAATTTTGCTGGCATGGCTATGTTGATTAGGACTCTGATAAAAGTTTCACCCCAGAGTCCTTTAGCAGACAATCTGTTCTATTTAGAAAATGGATCCAAGTTATATTGGCAAAAAAGGTTTTTTTCACCATGAGCTAAGTCACCATTAGGGGAACTGCTGGTACTGTATACTTCTACTAGTTAACTCTTATACTGGAAAAATGTTCCTAATGGAATCATGGCATGAGATTTAGAGCCTAGTTATCAGCAGAGATCCAGGTTTTCCATTTCCCACAGAAAAAGAGAAAACCATGGATTTTCCCTTCTTTTTTTTTCTTCTTTTTTTTTTAAATCGGAGAAAACGTGGATTTTTCCTTTTAGCAGAGAAACCAGCAGATTTCCTGCTTTTGCAAACAGCAATGCAGGCTGGCTGAGCTCCAGCCTGCAAAAACTGTTTGCAAACAAGGTGGGAAATCCCAGCCGTGCCCAGAGGGGGAGGGTGGGGCCTGAGACTCACTCAGCCACAGCTCTACTCCGCTCAGCTCAGCCTGACTCTTCTCCTGGAGCCTGTGAGGTAAGTGGGGCTTGAAGGAGGCTGGGGGCCCCTCTGGCAGGGCTGGGAGGTCACAGGTCATGGCTGGGGGCACCGGCAGGGCTAGGAGGAGCCAGGAGCTGGCCTCACCCCTGCCTGACCAGGCAGAGCAGTAGGGGAGCCAGCTCCAAGCTACTTCTGCTGCAGCTGCCTGCTGTTGGGGGCAAGGATCTGCAGACTTGATGCCCTGGCAGCTGGGGGCCCCCTCCAGCAGGCCCAGGGGGCAGGAGCTGCGGATAGAGGCAAGAGGCACAAGTAGGGCAGGGGTGCTGCAGGGGGCTTTTAATTTTAATAACGGATTTGGGGGGTTTTGTCACAGAATTTGCGATTTTTCATCAGAAGATTTGTGATTTTTTAAATCAGAGAAAACCAAGGTCCCTGGTTATTAGCCAAGTGTTTTCTGTTCCATGGGCAAATGCATGGATCACTGATAAAATACTTTTACATTCACTGCACAGCACTACCAATCACCATGGTGTTCTGGTCCGTGCCTGGGGCTCCTAGCTGTTATAAAAGACAGCCATTTGTTAAGTCTGAACACTGTACATTAATAGATGACATTAGTTATGTTTTCCTGGCTATCCCTTGACTATCTGAATAAAGATGACCTCAGATAAGTCTCTAACAAACATGCAGTTAACTGAACTATACATGTTGTTTGAATCATAGAGATTTGTATCATGGACATAACAGTCCTCAATACCATTAAATTCCTTCACATTGAGATTAGGATGCACCTTTCATTTTTAGGTCAAAAGACTCATAAAGAAACCCAACAAAAACTACTGAGTATCGAGAATACAAATGTATATGCCGCTTTCCTTCTGTTGTTAACATACCTAAATCCAAAAGGACAGCATGATACCTACATCATAAATTTGAAAAGCCTAGATTTTAGAAGGCTTAAACTAGAGAATTTTACATAATTCTGCCTTTTGTCTCTAGTTTAGAGATAACCTTTACTGTTAAGAACTGGTTTTGAGATTCCCATTTTAAGACATACTAATAATGTGGATCTGCATGGACAAGGCTATTAAGGAGAAAACTTAAGATTCAGGTAGAGCAATAAGTAGTATATATTTTGTCTTAAAATAATTATTACTATTTTTACAATGATAGTTCTTATTGTATCCAAATTTACAAATCTTTGAAAAATGAAATTAGTATTTTTCCAATAAATTTACATCCAGGAAAATATGATCTCCATCACAGTTGGGAATTTTTAATACTGACAAGTCAAAAGATGATCATATTGTAATATTAAGCCATTATAGTTTTACCTATAATCTGTTCAGATAACTGAAATGATTGATACTGACTTTTAGACTGAAGATGGCACTTAAATCATTTTAAAAGTGCATATTCACAGTAGGTAAACTTGAGGAAAATGCCCGAAGAGCAGCAAATGTTTATTTCAGTTAGCTATAAAATACTGTTAATTTGCACTGATTTATTGCACTTGGCTTTGTAAAATAGATAGAAATTAAAGATAAATCCCGCCAGAAATGTTATATTTATGAAAATTTTTCATATCTTCACATCTATGGGCCATAAACAAAAACTGCTACTTCCAAAGGGAGTCTGGAAAGGAACAGATTTAGTTTCCTTTTCTTATAAGAAAATGGCATTATTGCAGTAATTTGACACAAAGGTGATTTTTTGAGGAAGATATTAACATTTTTATTCATCTAATAGGAATTGAAATCTAAACTGGTTCACATTTCAATGCCAAGCCATAAAATTTCAAAACAGGGCAACTGCCACTACCACAATGAACTGCTGAGGTAAAAAATAGCACGTCTTGCAACATATTGTGTTCACACATCTACCCTGTGACGTAGTCTTTTTTTTTTAGCCACATCTTCCTTTCTTCACATTTTTACTGTTTGTTCTTATCATCACCACCACCTTTGAAGGTCATCAGAACAGAGATTATCTTATTAACTTGTATAACCTCTAACACAATGTGGTCCTGGGACCTCACTGGAGCTACTGCAAGGAAAATAGTTATGCACCTTGAGTTACTCATGTGGAGAGAAAATATTAAAATCGATAAGAAAAGAAGGTACTGTAGGATTGTTATAGAGCTCTGAGGCCACAATCTGTGTAAATTTAAATGTACCCAAGGAATTTTACTGTGTATTTTTACAATATAAAATTAGAAAAGACAGCTTTTACTTTTCATTTTATTTCCTTGCTCTTACATATTTCTAATTCCTCGTTCTTAGTGGTGTACCAAAGACAAAAGTAATCTATGCTCTAGGGCAGGGGTGTCAAACTCAAGCACCACGGACTGGGTGGGTGAATGGTCCAGGGCCAGTTCACACAGGCTGGATTCA